GGAAAGAGTGGTCATATACGGTTTGTCGATCCGTACGGACCGTACGGATCGCAAAAGTGATATACGGTCCGTAAATTGCATCTCATTAGTGGGACTTAGAATATTTTCACGGCACTGAGAGAACGTAGGCACGGTTTGTCGATCCAAAGAGATAGCACGGATTGCAAAACTCGTGTACTTCAGCTGATACTTTAGAGGTGTAGTAGGTTTATTGCGGGATTTTTTTGGCAAAACTCTTCCGCGCGCGCACCGCGCTCTGTAGTTCAGCTGTTAGGTGGAGGTAAGTGTAAAACAGAGTGAGATCTGGGTACGAGATTGGGTATATGTAGGAAGTAAATGGGCGCAACAAAGAACGTGCGCGCGCGAGGGGAGAGGGAGCGCCTGCACGTAAGGCCCCCGAAAATCGTTTCAATTCGCACTCTGTGAGTGCGAGATATTTCCAATTGGTCGAGATTTAGAACTGATTTACAAGATGGAAAGATTTACACCACATTAAGTTTAACAAATGTGTCCAGGAATGTGTCAATTCATTTTAGGATGAGCTAGCCTAGTTAAAAGACTTTATAAGGTAGATGCATAATGCATGCTAGCACGCGCCAGCTCAGTTTCTCGGCGTGCACCCACGGGCAAATAGTAGTGGCTAACTGACCAATCAGAGCGCGCGATTTACTTTTGTTATGTTATAAAGTAAGATTTATCTTTTGTTAAAATCTGTCTTTTGTTCATACTAATTGGACGCGCTGGTAAAACAAAGGATACGTTCCGTTGGCCTTAATTGACTTTTACTTGACCAAACAAAACCTTTCCAGAAAAACAAAGTTTCGCCTGGAACATACTGTTTTTATTACTCGCCTACGTTTTCAAGATCTTATTTGAGCTGGTTTGCGTTTTAGTGACAGAAACCTTGTCTATCGAGATCTCCGGATCAATCATTTAGTTGTACTTCATTAAGCGTAGTTGGTTGGCAATTGTTTGAGACTGGTTGTCAAGTGAACTCTTTTGTTGGATAATCCGTGTAATTATATCTGTACGCTAATTAGTTTTATTGCAAAACTCATAAACAACTTTAAGTTAATATATTGAAAAGGCGGGACAAATTAGTATTGTTAATTATTCCTACAAGAAGACTTAAAACGACAACTTGTGTAATGCACAAAAGTTAACTAGTTGTGCTTTTTGAAGTAACGATAGTGTGAATCAGCGATTTATATATACAAATACATTCTTTGTGATCTTTATATCTCTCTGACCATTTGTTTTGACTGGACATTAACTGGACTTGAGTGAATTTTATAGTCAAAGCTGATTTTCGGACTGCGTCAAAACCTCGAAGGAAAATATGATAATATTCCTTACAGCCAATCGGGTTTTTACTGATGTAAGACTAAATTTCAAATGATTGGGATTGGCACCTGTCATGTCCAGTCAGGATAAAAGGAGCCACAACAGGCTTTTGTCAGAGAGAGATAGCACAAGCTAGTGTGAGATTATGTTGACTTGTAACAACACTGAAGCTTTAGAAGAAATACAGAGTTTGCTGAACCAACAAAGTACGTGTGTCTCTTCTGTGAAGTCGACCCGAGCCTAGTCCCCTTCAACTGGGTTCGGACTTTTCACACTTTTACACAGTTAAGAGAGAAAAAAATGGCACCTACTTTATTAGTTTCGATTTTGGGAGTAACCTCACTTTGTGTACTCGTATTAGCGCTACTTTTGGTCGTAGCTCTCAAAGTTTTCCCCAAGAAAGTTAAAGATGATTTGATCATACACCAGTCGGACGGGGAAGAAAAAACATCGAGACGTCTCGGTATGTTGGAACAGGTGTTTCTGGAAAGAATTTTCTAAATTTGCAGCTTGCGTTGCAAACGATAACCAGCACCATGAATCTAAAGATAATTTAACCTGCATTTAACCGCTTTGCGATTAATGTAGACAACGCCTACATAAACAATCAAGAAGCAAAAATTGGTAGTTTTAGTTTCATCCAATAGCGTCTTCTCGGAAACTAGCTGTGTCGTAGTAGAGTAGTAATTTGAATAAATAATTCGTGCGGGGATTCCACAATTAGCGCAATTGTCTATCTTTGCTCATTTTCTTTAAAAGTCAAATGAGGTCATTGCGCTCTCATTAACAACTTAAACCAATGAAATATTTGCTCGATTCTCGCGAGAGGCTTTTACTAGGCAGGCAAGTGATGTGTCAAAAAAATTTGTATAGCCGTTTAAATGGCTACAACGTTTTTATTATTTAAAAAAAAACAGTACATTTATAATTTTTCATGAAAGTTGTTTTAGGCTTTGTTAGGTTTTGCAAATATTCTCCTTTGTCGCGCGCTATTTCCGGACACTTTTTACATAAACTGTGATGGGCTAGAGATGACACCACCATTTAGAAATTTCAATTTTTGTGAGACAACCATTAAGTTTCGACGACAGTCTCCACATAATTTTCCCATTTTTGTCATAATGGCGAAGACAAATTGACAAAAGGGAGCAAAACATTACGTGTGTGATTGTCTGGGAAAACAGGGCCACCTGTCCGAAAAAGAGACCGCGTTTTATACAAGACTTGAAACAGGGAGGATAAAAAATTCCATACAGATTACGTGTGGAGTTCTCACATTTTTCTTATGCTTATCTTTTGACTTCTCCTGAACTCCAACCGCCAGTCCAAGATATATCTCCACAAGGTCCTCAAGCTGAATTTAGAATTTTCAGCTTCTCGTGGCGATATAAACTTTTACAGGGCTTACTTCCGCACTGGAGCGGCTCCAGTCTTGTCAACTTTTCCTTCTAATCATGGATTATTTGCTTTGAGTCTCCTCATACTTTCTTGCGATATTTCACTCAACCCAGGACCTCTAAGATGTCCATGCGAAATATGTGGCCAAGCAGTGAGAAAAACCCAGAGGGCTATTATGTGCAAGCAGTGCTCAGTTTGGTTTTACCAAGCATGCTCGTATATAAAAGATTTTAACTTCAAAACCTTGGAGAAGCACCCATCATACGTTAGGCCATGTTGCAACTGCGGCCTGACAAGTTTTTCCTAGTCAATGTTTTCATCTGGTATTGCTACCAGTGACAGATTTGATACATTACCTGACCTTCCTTCTTCCTCCCCTTGAAACCCAACAGGGACACAAGCTACGTCTACCTATTTGTTCCCCTCGGTTTTCCCCTGCACTTGTCTAGTCCATCTCGTGAGAAGACAGAGCAAAAGAAAAGTGATATGATGGACAACATCAAGCCGATTAGCATCTTTATTCCCTACGAATCTCAAAAGTGATATACGGTCCTTAAAGAACCTTTTACAGTCCGTTAACTGCATCTCATTAGTGGGACTTAGAATACTTTCATGGAAAGAGTGGTCATATACGGTTTGTCGATCCGTACGGACCGTACGGATCGCAAAAGTGATATACGGTCCGTAAATTGCATCTCATTAGTGGGACTTAGAATATTTTCACGGCACTGAGAGAACGTAGGCACGGTTTGTCGATCCAAAGAGATAGCACGGATTGCAAAACTCGTGTACTTCAGCTGATACTTTAGAGGTGTAGTAGGTTTATTGCGGGATTTTTTTGGCAAAACTCTTCCGCGCGCGCACCGCGCTCTGTAGTTCAGCTGTTAGGTGGAGGTAAGTGTAAAACAGAGTGAGATCTGGGTACGAGATTGGGTATATGTAGGAAGTAAATGGGCGCAACAAAGAACGTGCGCGCGCGAGGGGAGAGGGAGCGCCTGCACGTAAGGCCCCCGAAAATCGTTTCAATTCGCACTCTGTGAGTGCGAGATATTTCCAATTGGTCGAGATTTAGAACTGATTTACAAGATGGAAAGATTTACACCACATTAAGTTTAACAAATGTGTCCAGGAATGTGTCAATTCATTTTAGGATGAGCTAGCCTAGTTAAAAGACTTTATAAGGTAGATGCATAATGCATGCTAGCACGCGCCAGCTCAGTTTCTCGGCGTGCACCCACGGGCAAATAGTAGTGGCTAACTGACCAATCAGAGCGCGCGATTTACTTTTGTTATGTTATAAAGTAAGATTTATCTTTTGTTAAAATCTGTCTTTTGTTCATACTAATTGGACGCGCTGGTAAAACAAAGGATACGTTCCGTTGGCCTTAATTGACTTTTACTTGACCAAACAAAACCTTTCCAGAAAAACAAAGTTTCGCCTGGAACATACTGTTTTTATTACTCGCCTACGTTTTCAAGATCTTATTTGAGCTGGTTTGCGTTTTAGTGACAGAAACCTTGTCTATCGAGATCTCCGGATCAATCATTTAGTTGTACTTCATTAAGCGTAGTTGGTTGGCAATTGTTTGAGACTGGTTGTCAAGTGAACTCTTTTGTTGGATAATCCGTGTAATTATATTTGTACGCTAATTAGTTTTATTGCAAAACTCATAAACAACTTTAAGTTAATATATTGAAAAGGCGGGACAAATTAGTATTGTTAATTATTCCTACAAGAAGACTTAAAACGACAACTTGTGTAATGCACAAAAGTTAACTAGTTGTGCTTTTTGAAGTAACGATAGTGTGAATCAGCGATTTATATATACAAATACATTCTTTGTGATCTTTATATCTCTCTGACCATTTGTTTTGACTGGACATTAACTGGACTTGAGTGAATTTTATAGTCAAAGCTGATTTTCGGACTGCGTCAAAACCTCGAAGGAAAATATGATAATATTCCTTACAGCCAATCGGGTTTTTACTGACGTAAGACTAAATTTCAAATGATTGGGATTGGCACCTGTCATGTCCAGTCAGGATAAAAGGAGCCACAACAGGCTTTTGTCAGAGAGAGATAGCACAAGCTAGTGTGAGATTATGTTGACTTGTAACAACACTGAAGCTTTAGAAGAAATACAGAGTTTGCTGAACCAACAAAGTACGTGTGTCTTTTCTGTGAAGTCGACCCGAGCCTAGTCCCCTTCAACTGGGTTCGGACTTTTCACACTTTTACACAGTTAAGAGAGAAAAAAATGGCACCTACTTTATTAGTTTCGATTTTGGGAGTAACCTCACTTTGTGTACTCGTATTAGCGCTACTTTTGGTCGTAGCTCTCAAAGTTTTCCCCAAGAAAGTTAAAGATGATTTGATCATACACCAGTCGGACGGGGAAGAAAAAACATCGAGACGTCTCGGTATGTTGGAACAGGTGTTTCTGGAAAGACAGAAGATCAACAACTGGGGAACTGTTTCTTCTGTCTTGCTGTTGGACTCTACGCAAGAACTAAGGCAAGATGAATTCAGAAAAGCTCTTGTTCTTCTGGCCAAGCGGTATCCTTTGCTACGTATGAGAATACAAGAAACCACCGATGGAGTCCAATTTGAAGAAATGGAAAACCCTACTACAATTGACTTTGAACTGTTAAACCATGTGACAGCCGATAACTGGGTACAAGGCTTCGAAGCAGAACTAAACGGTTATCCGTTTAACATCACTAGAGGGCCTTTGTGGCGAGCAAGACTACTGAAAGAAACTTTCAGCGAAGGAAAATTCACAAACGCGGTTGTGTTTACGTTTCAGCACATCATCTGCGATGCGCTGTCCATCTTTGAGTTCCAAAAAACGCTGTTGGAATTTCTGGCTTCTCTTCATGGTGGGGTAGAGTTTAAAGTTGAGAGTCTTCCTCTAAAGCCTCCTTTGGAGTCACTAATGCCCAAACTAGTTCAACCTAGCATCGCGGAGAGGGCGTTGCTTTCGAGTTTCTTCTCAATCCAACGGGCCAAAGCTTTTTTTGTCAAACCAAAAAATCTGTTTCTATCAGTCTACCCTCCTGTGGCCAACGCAGACCCAATTGTGACCAAGAAAACTTGTGTTTTGGCTCGTAGCCTCTCTGAAGAAGAAACCAAGCTATTGAAGAAAAGCTGCAGGGAAAACAAATGCACGGTACACGGCGCAATCACTGCCTCCACGTATCTCGCGACTGCGCGAATTCTACACCGAGAGAAACACGACTTAAAATTTCCACTTTCCCTGGAATCATCTTATTCTGCCAGTGTACGAAACGATTGCGAGCCAAAGCTAAACAGGGAGGACTTTGGTGCCTATGTCAGCGCGAGCAGCTTAAAACTTCCAGTACCTCTAGTGCAGCCCGATGACAAGCAAGGCTTCTGGGAGTTTGCCCGTGCGTGTACTCGCGAGGTCCACGCGCAGATAGATTCTAAAAAGTACCTCAATCTTTTGAAGTTTTACCACTGTATAGACATTCCCAAATACTGCGCTATGTCTAACTACGAACACAACCAAGGGCGCCGAAGCCACATTTTTAACATTAACAATTACGGAGCTCAGCAGACAAATCAGAGTGATACAGGTCCGTTTAAATTTGCTGGTTTATTCTTTGGTGTTCAAGGAGCGAATACTGGCCCAACATTTGGTAATAATATCATAACTGTGGATGGTCGACTTTACTGGACCGTGGAGTATTTTCCACACGTAACCTCGAAGACACAAACAGAAGATTTCTTTGAATTGTCCTTACAAACATTAAGACAAGTTTATACGTGAATGATATTTTCTACAAGTATGTTATCCTCGTCATTGTTAAACGAGTTAGTTATTCATTTATTGATTTATTTGTCGAATTAAACAATTTCTATTTGCACAGTTTCCGTCCAAGGTTGACGACTTGTGTTTTTACTATCTAACATAGTATACATTGTTATCAAAACAAAGGAAATTGACTCATATTTCAAACTAAATAAACTCTCTAACTAATCCGTATTTTTAAAATACTTCAAAGCTAAATAAAACACTTTTCTAATTAAAGAATGATGAGTAAGTTTCCCTTGTTTTTGAATTTTATCAGTATATGAGGCTCTGACGAGTACTTTTGAAGTTATAACAGACTTTCTTACGAAACAGTGCAGTTTTTTTCGAGGAAAACAATTTTAAAGAAAACTATTCTCTAAAACGCTTAAGAAGACGCTAGGCTTATTGATAATTGACGTAGCTCCCTCGTATTGACCAAATGGGAAATCAAGATGGCTGAACATTGACTGAAGTCCTTTTTTTAAAGGTAACACGGTCCATGAGAACAAAAACCGCAAAGAAAAGAATAAGAAGAAAGAGGAGGCCAATATTCAGCCACTTGACCAAAAAAGCTTGCTATTATTATTTGAGCGTGGCCCAAATAGAGTAATGGAAACGGCTTGTTTTGACGAAACATCTCTAAACCTGAAGAAGATTGGTATGGCCTGCAGCTGCCCCACCGGTCTGACCCACGGGCATTAGCATTTTTTTTGCCTTGGATGGCAAATTCCCGGGGTGGGGATTAACTCATGGACCCCATAGACCCTTTTTTGGGACCCTGACAAGTGTGTCAGTTCATTTCATGATGATCTAGCCTAATTAAAAGGCTTTATAAGGTAGATGCATAAACAGAAAGCTACTAAGTTGGGATTGCGAAAATTACTTCTTTCCTATAGAGACTAAGATGGGGTCTACAATATGGAAATACTATAATAAACCGAGAGCCAGCGGCACATACCCAGCAAAATTAACCCAAGAAACCCCCCCCCCCCCCCCCCCCCCCC